GCTGAGAGCAAATCCATCCCAACTGAGCCTTGAGATCACTGCAGCCTTGTGATAGACTCAGAGCCAAAGGACTCAGTTAAGCTGCATCAGGATTTCCGACCCACAGAAATGGAGATAATAAATGTTGTTTTAAGTTACTAAGTTTGGGGGTAATTTGTTATACAGCAAAAGATAACTAACACATCCCATTTTGTAGATGAAGAAACTGAAGCTTGGGGACATGGATCAACTTTCCCAAAGTCACACAGAGAGTAAATGGCAGAGCCAGGGTTTGAACACATTTAGGTTCAAGAGTCTTAGTTCAAATCTACTTTCTTATGTGATTCCAAGTGACTGGAAAAGTGGAGTTCTAGAAGGCATTCTACTCTCTGAAATCTTTGGAGTGTAGCCATGTTTCCAGGAAACTCTTTGTGTGTAGAACAGGGATGGACAAAAGTTTAAATGGTGCTCAAAAGCCCACTCCCTGCTGCGGAAGAGTGGCTGGTCCACCCATAGATCTAGTGATAGTAACCAGGGGCTCCATTCAACAGCATAATGGCAGAGCTAAGAGCTGCGGCCCATCCATTTTACAAGCACTCAGGCTATCTTATTTATAAAATGCAAGGTGGGTAAAGGGGTACGCACATTTTTCTTGAGGATGAAAATGCATGCATTACATAATGAGGAGGTCTGGTGTGCTATTTAAAAAGCATATTGGGGGCACCTGGGTGGCTCAGTCGGTTAAACATCAGACTCTTGGTTTCAGCTCAGGTCGTGATTGCAGGGTTGTGAGATTGAGTCCTGTGTCAGTCTCGTGCTCAGTGTGGAGTCTGCTTGAGATTCTTTCCCTCTCCCACTCCCTCTGCCCCTCCCCCATCTCTCTCTTTCTCTCAAATAAATAAATAAAAATCTTGAAAAAAAATCTTACGAGCCCTAGCATTGGAAAGCAAATGGTTCTACCCGAGAGAACACCATTTTTCACTCTTTTTTTTTTTTTTTTAAGTGTCTTTCCATCGATGGAAGACAGCCTTGAACTTTGAACCCACAGTGCTTTGTTCCATCATGGGACATAGCTTGGCACTTCTCTGTTGGAATCTCCCCAGTCTGAGATGCTGAAAACATCTTCTTCCGGACAGTTTCCCTTTCTTCATCCAGAGCTTCATGCCAGTGGTCACCTTTATGACATCAAATGAAGATATACTTGTTGGCTGGCTACATGGATCTTGTCGGCTTTGCCCTGATGCCAGAGCAGCAGGCTTTGAGCTCAGGGAGGATTTCCAGGTGACAGGAGAGCAAAGAGCCCATAGGGTAAAGTTCTGACATGGTTCTCCTTTCAGCGGTAACAGAGGCTGCACTTTGTTGGTGTAATTGTGCAACCTGGTATAAAGTCCACAGCAGGGAGATGGGGGTAGGACTCTAAGCTGGCTCAGCAGTTCGTGGCCTCTTGGCTCTGTCTAGCTTTCCTTACTCTCTTCTCTGCTGGCCTTCCCCCCCAACCCCCACCCCAAGCCCTCCTCTCTAATCCCTTCATCCCTGTAGGTTTCCATCTTCAGGGATCCCTAATTCAGGGAACTCTCTCTTATCAAATATCTTGGCTTGCTTCCAACTACTAGAAGCAGGCAGCTCTGGCTCTTGTCTACTATCTGAATGCTTTTCTTCTCTACCAGTTGTTTGTTTCTCTAATCCATTTGGAATTGTGTGTAAAATCCAAAAACAAACCCCCAAAAGCAGCTTTTCCCTAGTGAGATTGCCCCCTGGACTAAAAGAGCAATGAGGGGCGCCTGGGTGGCTCAGTCAGTTAAGCGTCTGCCTTCGGCTCAGGTCATGATCCCGGGGTCCTGGGATGGAGCCCCGTGTCGGGCTCCCTACTCAGGGGGGAGCCTGCTTCTCTCTCTCCTCCCTGCTTGTGCTCTCTCTCGCTATCTCTGTCACTGTCTCTGTCTCTCTCTCTCAAATAAATAAAATCTTAAATAAAATAAAATAAAATAAAGAGCAATGAAAGGAAACCTGGATTCTGCTCCCTTGAAAAGTGATGTGATGAAAAGAGAGCAGAAAGCAGTGTCAGCACGCACCGGAGCCCAGAGCAAACCGTGCTCCTCAGACATCAGGACATCACTCCAAGTCCTCCATTGTCTACTTAATCAGGATTTATGAAGTCTATTTTTGCCTTTAATATACCTGCTATCCTGGTCTTGCTCAAGTGGCTCTGAGCAGATATCATCTGCACCACCCCCACGGTCAGCCTCACAATACAAAGATGCAGACTCCCTGACTCCAGTGTTCTTGCTTTCTAAGATGGGGTCTGAAGAGTGGTGAAGACATAGCACAGGAAAGATAACAGAGTCTGACTGGATTAATTACGTCATAAGGTCACCTCGTGCGTGCTAAATCAAAATGGGGGGTACGAGCAATAACCTTCCCAGTACTGCATGGACTTTATTTATTTTTTAAAGATTTTATTTATTTATTTTTTTGACACAGAGAGGGAGCACAAGCAGGGGGAGTGGCAGGCAGAAGGAGAGGGAGGCAGAAGGAGAGGGAGAAGCAGGCTCCCCGCAGAGCAGGGAGCCCGATGCGGGGCTCCATCCCAGGACCCTGGGATCATGACCTGAGCTAAAGGCAGACGCTTAACTGACTGAGCCACCCAAGCACCCCCCTGCATGGGTTTAGTAACACAATAAATAGCTTTCTGGTGGGTCAAAGAATGTTCCTTAAAGCCTTCCTTCTTTAAGATTTTTTTTCCTCTTCTTACTGGGTTGAACATGTTTATTTTACATTTCTTATTTGATTTTCACAAGGAATGGTAGTGGTAGAAGTGTAAATATGTATGTATGAGTGAAAACATTTATGAATACCTTTTTTTTTTCAGTGTATGGAATAGAATGAATAGCTGACCTTTGTGGCAGTATTCCTAGTTTTGTGATAGTAATTTTGTTGAGTTCCTGAATTTGATGGCGAGTCCTCTTAGTGAGACTGGCATAATTCTATGTTCTCCATGGCACCAAGTCACTATGGGTGTACAAGAGCCATTATTACCCAAAGTACCATAATAATGCCCATGCCCTCCTATGACGTTATTGTTTCCTATCTGCCAGGACATTAATTGCCTTCTAACTTGCTCTAAAATTGGTAGGCAGGGCATACTGCCAAGACTAGAGAGAAGAAAACTGGTAATATATTAAAAAGCTGTGTAAAGGACATCCTGACACCTCCTTCTCATTGGGGAATTTTCACATTTGCATGTTACTTCATTTGTTATGGATGTTAGCTCAGGTTTGCCTTATGTCTTGGCTTCCATCTTACCATGGTCAATGTCTGATCTTTCCTTCAACTGAATGATTCAGACATCTCTGAAGTTATTTTGTCTTTCCCACTTTCCTTTTATAGGCTTTTTATGAGTCATTGAATTGAAGGGGAGGTTATTTCTAAATTGGAAGGTGAGGATGAGGGAAGGGGGAGGAAAGTTCCGGAAAATAACTAGGAAAAGACACCTTATTGTTATAGTTACTGGAGGAATAATTTCCGCTTAGTTTGGTGATAGGTAGTTTTATTCAAACTTGACTAAAATATAAGCTAGAAAATAGACAATTTTTTTTTTCTTGGATAACCAAGAGTGCAGTTTTAGACTATCTGTAGCTTGCTCTGCAAAGGACAGAAGAGTGAATAGAAGAGATATGGGACAAAGAGTTAGCAGGAAGAAGAAAGGGGCAAAGCACAAAATTCCTAAAGTCCAGATTCTCAGTCCCACAGGAAGTTTCAACCATAAGGTAATTCTTGTAAGGGGGTACCTCTTTGACCTGTCCCAATCCATCCCTAGGTATGTTTCATGGTCCATGGGTTTGTTTATAGGTAGAGTTGTGAGGAAGGTACATTTAAATCTGACTTAGAAATTTAAAGAGTAACCAGGCCAGCATTTTGTTATTTAGGAGCAGGGAAAGTGGGTGGAAATGAGAAAGAAAAGCAAAATCTAATGATGGATATATTTCTAGGAGCACAAGAGTTTTTATAGCAACACCAGATTTCTCAAAAATGCGTACTGTGACTTGTAACCAAATGAATAAAAAATGCAATCATTTATTCTTGTGCATTGTGCCAATGTAAGAAAAGGGCTGCAATTCATTCCATCATCCTAATTTAGACTGCTAGGAAGAGGAGAGGTTGGGAAAAAAAGACAAGCTTTTCAAGTATCTGACACACATCTAGTAGGGCTATTTAAGAACTGCTGAACATAAAAATCAATTTGGGAGAAGGTGGGGGGAACCAAATTCTCAATTCCAGAGCATCGCAAGGGTAAATATGGCCCGTTTAGTCCAAACTTGCTGATGGCTGCTTGGTCACTTGACAGCCCCCAGCTAGGGGTGAGTCTGGAAGCTAGAGAACGCTCAACATGCCACTTCAGTTTATTAACGACGTTATAATTGCAACAGAAGTGACTGATTTCTGCTAAATAAGCACCTGTGCTTTGCCCTTTAGAGTGGAGACTTCTGGAAAGAACTTCAAGGAAATTGGGCGCATTTGGGACTTCAAGAAGAAATTTTTATCTGTATAAGTGCTTTTCTCCCAAGGAGTTGGAAAACACTCCTTAAACACAATCTCTGATGTTGGTATTTTGTAAGTACTACTCTATAAACTAGCAGTGATAAACTCCTTATAGGCAGGGAACTGGCGAAGGGGATGGGAATACAGAGTGAACTCTACAACAAAGAGTTAACCCTTCCCCGGGAACCTCGGTTGTGAGCGTCTGCCCCTTCCTTGCTTGCTACTGCGCAACCAAACTGTGTCCAAGCTTGAACCAACCATGGCCATCACATCCCTTGCCAGTTGACTTAACAGACACTTTTAGCAGCCTATCATAACTTCGAACTGCCCAACCATCAACCAATGACAACTAAAGCTTGGTTCTAGGCGCTCCGGGTCCGGACGCGGGCTAATACCGGGTCCAGGAAAAGGGGCGGTGAGGAAGCTATGACGGACGGCTAAACTCAGCCAGTCAGAGCAGAAAGCCGCCGCCTCACTATCCAATGGAGAGGTAGAAAGTATGAAATGGGGTGGGCCTGTTGTCATGGGGGAGGCGGTGGCGCTTGGTGGCTACTGGCGGCTGAGGTAGAGGCAGTGGCGCTGGAGTTGGTTGGGGGCTGCGGCAGGTGAGTGCCGGTAACGCGGGCCTGAGGTCCGGGGGCCGTTGCGGGGCAGAAACTCCAGCTGGGCGCTCCGGAGGCGGAGGCCAGAGGAAGGGGGCCTGGACTGTGGGCCGGGTCTGGCCGGGGCCAGGGTGGCGGCGGTGGCGGCGGCGGCGGCGGCTGCAGCGAGTTCGCGCTGACTGGGCTGGTGGGAGAATGGCCCGATTCCCGGCGGCGGAGTTCGCGTTGGCAAGATAGGCTGGGGCCGGACCCGAGCGGTTCTGACAGGGAGGTCCCTTGGGACGTCCCACTGCTTGGGTCTGGGGCACTGAGCGGCGGCCGGTGTGTGAGGGGTAAGATCCCTCGGGAGACGGAAGCGGACGGGGTCCCGGAGGGGGTTGACCCGGGGTGACTGGCAACGACCTGGTTCGAGGACCGGGTGACTCGGGAATACACACCCAGGGCAGCTTGGGTGCGAGGGAGCAGAGGACCCCGGGAATCCCAGGAGCGGCCCGAGTGGGGAGAGCTGGGGGTCCGGGAAACTGGGAGTGGCAGGGGTCCGAGGGAGAAGGGAGACCGAGGGCTATCGGGGTTCGGGGTGACAGTGAGCGGCCTGGGTCCAAGCGAGGACGTCGAGGAAAGGCGGGGGGGGGGCTGGGGACCCTCTTGAAAAAGGCGGCTGTCCGAGGGTGGAGGGCTCCGGAGGAGTGGGAGCCGCGGGTTTTAGGAGGGTGGGACCTGTGGAGACCTTGAACAGCTGGGGTGGAACGGAGCGCCCTGCCCCCACTGCTGGTCTGGGATGGGATACCCAAGACTAGACTGGGAGCTCCTGGGTCTGAGGATCCGAGGGGGCCGGGGATCCTCGAGGAGTAGCTCGGATTTGAGACTAGGGTGAGGGGTCTACTGGGGAGTAGAAGTTGTCTCAGTTGGAGAGGAGTCAAACAAAATGACACAGGGGTGGGCGGGGAGAAATAATTTCCTTGTAGGAAGCGCGTAGTTCATAGGGCGTAGTAGGAGGGAGCGAGAAAGTTGCTCAGGAAGAGAGTGGTGGTCTTGTGGAAACGGGCCAGAACAGTAGATAGGAGAAATTAACAGTGGCCATTAGTAGATTTTAAGGACTTCAGAAATAGAAGAAACTTCGGCTTCATAATACTATAAGTGACTTGCATTCCAATGCTTTAGAAAAAAAAATTGTTTTAGGATGACACCGATGGTATTAGAAAATGAGGACATTGACAGGATGGTGAATTTGAAAGGGAAAGGGGAAGACTAGCTGAAACTAAGGGAGTAGGTCGGAGGACTTGATCAGAAAGAGGGGAGTCATGAAAGGATGGACATACCCTGGCCAAATCAGAAAAAAATTTGAATTCTAGTTCCACCACTTGGCTTGGACAATTTAACCTCTCTATGCAAGTTTCCTCGTCTGTATAATAGGAATAATAATGCTCTCTATTTCATAGGGCTGTTTTTTCACAGGAGTTAATATTTGTAGAACTTTTAGAATAGTGACTGCCACGGAGTAAGCCCTGGGTACTTACTGACTGGATTGTTAAATAGAGGAAAAAGACCGGGTTTTTTTTTATGCTGTGGTTCTCAAACTTTAGCTTGCACCAGAATCATTTTGGGCTTGGTAAAATACAGACTGCTGGCCTCCTCCAGAGTTTCTAATTCAGTAAGTTTGGAGTGGGTCCTGAGAATTAGCATTTATCTCAGGTGATGCTTATGTTGGTCAGAGGATCACACTTTAAAAACCACTTGCTTCCATGAAAACAATAATAATGTAGCAACCTTAAAATATCTGTCTATCCTGCCAGAGACAAGTAGAGGCAGATTGCAAAAATGATCCAAATATAAGGGATACCTCTGTGAAGCCTGTGTTTTTCAAACTGTGGATCATGATTTATTAGTAATTTATAAAATCAATTTAGTGGGTTACCGTCAGCATTGAAAATGAAATAGAACAGAATTGCACTTGGTAAGGAAAGTATTGTTTGGGAAAGTTTTCTCATGTGTGTGTACTAGGTCACAATGGAAAATGTATTTCTTACAGTCAAAAGAAACTCAAAAACTGTTTTGAGCCATGCAGTGCAGCAAAAGTAACCCTTCAGTAGAGGGTTTCTAAATTGGGCTTATTATTTATATCTTTATTTTTCTTTTTCTGGTAATTTTTCTCTGGTGGTGATACATTCTATTACATCTCTTCAGCTTCTGATTTGGTTTCTCTTAGGTTTGCCTTATCACATATTGTGTTGTGCCTCTTTTTAGATATTGAAAATCTTTGGTATAAGGACTTAGGAAATTTGAGGCAGAGGAATGAAATTGAGTGGTGTTTCTCAGATGTGGTACACTTTTGTTTCACTTGTGCCCTCTTGTTTACCCTTTCTTTTTATACCACCATACTGTAAAGCACTGTCTGTAAAAAACCTAAGTATACATAGACATATTGGCAGTAAATAACTAACGCTGAAATGAACTGGTTTGAGAACAGTTCATATATAGAAAATAAGCATAAACCAAATAAGATACATTTCTTTTTTTTTTTTTTTTTTTGACACAGCGAGAGAGGGAACACAAGCAGGGGGAGTGGGAGAGGGAGAAGCAGGCTCCCCGCAGAGCAGGGAGCCCGATGTGGGACTCGATCCCAGGACCCTGGGATCATGACCTGAGCTGAAGGCAGTCGCTTAACCAACTGAGCCACCCAGGCGCCCCCCAAATAAGATACATTTCAAAGGAGAAAAGCAAAGGAGTGTTTCCTTTTTAAAAGAGAGTAAAAGTTATTTAAAGCTTCTCGTGGCCTTACACTAATACAAAGCATATAAAAGCATTTTTAAGGGAATCAGATATACTTGTGTATTTTAGATTTTTAGGTTTTTGAAGAGCGAAGAAAGTGATAATAATCCAGGGTAAAATGCACCTGGGATAGAGGCTTAAGTACAAGGTAAATATTAAGCAGGAGCTTTTGTTTTGATGTTTTTCTCCCTTGAGAATGAACTGGATGTGGCATATATTGTAAATTTAACTTGTTTGAGTGATTTAAATGTAATCTATAGTACCTTTTTAAAGCTATATTAAGAATATTTTTTCTGTGCTGTTCTTGGTTTGATTTTTCTTCTATAAAAACCTAGATGGTTTATATTTAGGAGGAGTTGATTTAGATTAGTTTTTGTGGATATAAGAACAGAGAAAGCAGTATCGAAAACAGATTCTTGCAGTTCTCCTTAAAATCTTTAATCCAGGGGATTTATGTAATCCTTTCATTAATATTTTATGAAATTGTGAAGAAACTCTTGGTGTAGCTTTGCATTAAGATTTTTTGTAAATTTTATTTATTTGAGTGAGAGAGTGAGGGAGAGAGAGCACATGAACAGGGGCAAAGGGAGAGGGAGAAGCAGACTCCGGCTGAGCAGGGAGCCTGAATCGGGGCTGGATCCCAGGACCTTGAATTGGGGCTAGATCGCAGGACCCTCAACTGGGGCTGGCAGAAGCTTAACCTACTGAGCCACCCAGGTGCCCCACGTTAGGATTTTTACATAATTTCTTGTCTCTCAAAAATAATTTTTCTCAGATTTTTGTATTTCATTAAAATTTTATTTTTGTTTGGAAGACTACAAAACATATAATTATTACATACTTGAATTGAAAAACATAAGCAGTTTTTTCACAGAATAAATTTACTGATTTTTATGATAAAGGTTCCAAGGATGAAAGCTTTTGAATTCCTTGCATTGCGTTAGATGGAGTGTTCCTACCACCAAAATGGTTGTTCTGTAAGTCACTGTGCAGTTGGTGGTCACATTTGTAGAGATAATTCATTTTTTACTAACTGATGGAAGAATGTAAAATCTTAATAATTGAGTGTGGGAAAATATGAAAGTTCATTCTTTGTAATTGTGAACATTGACTGGTTTGATTACTTTTTAATAAATGGACTTTATTCAATTGACTTATTATTCACTCATAATTTAATCACAGGTATCTATGAATAGCTCTGATTGCTCAACACTTTACAGTGAGATTTGTTAATCTTGTAGTTGAATAAATGGTGGTTTTTAAATCCCAAAGAAACTGTATGTTCCTGACTGTACAATTTAGTGAGACTTAATTTCATATATCAAAGAAAATTCAAGTAAGTGATTTAAAAAAGTAGAAGTTCAGTTAACACTAGTTAATTAAGTTTATTTTCTATTTCAGTAGCATTTTATCCTCTTTTATAAATAGTTTCTGATCTGCTCTCTCTGCTTCTAGCCTTTATACAGTAAATCCTAATGGAAATGTTCGTGCCTGAAAATCTTGTTCTGTAATGGTACAGAAACCTATGTCTGGTTTTAAGTTCGCCGAGAGAAGTACTTTTATTAGAAAAGGTCCCTTGGTAAACTTACCACCTTAAAAAAAAAGTTGTTTATTTAATAGAGTACTTGAAAACCAGCATTTTATTTTGGGCTTGCCAAAACATCTATTGTGTTTGATAGATTTTGATTTCCACTGAATGGCTCTTGAATTCTCCCAATTTCTGAACTCTGATACATGTTTTCTTGATAGGGCTAAGAAGAAAGGAAACAATTGTACTCCTTAAATATTAAAAAAGAATTTTGCTATCTTATTTTTTTATCTTGGCATTAAAACAAATCCTTTTATTTGCCAAGAAAATTTGTTTCAGTAATATAACCTATTGGAAATTTCATTATTAAAGTTAGAAATATTATATAAAGCCTTAGGATGTTTGTTCAGATGTGAGACACAGGTTCTGATAAGTAGGATGTCCTTATGATACTGCTATATACTTTTGAGATTGTAAAATATACACACTTGGAAATCTTGGGGCAAAAGGAGGGTTGAAACTAAGGGAGAATGAGGAGAATACTGACATATGTTTGAGGAGTCTGGAGGATCTGTAGGAAGTATGTCTAGAGTAGTGAGCCACTCTTGGCAGTTTTCCTAGAGTGACATATGTAAAGGAGGATGATCCTATTTGCAGCATTCTCCCATGGACATATTTTTTTGTTCTGTGCAGTTTCCACTGCTTG